TTTTTTTTTTTTTTTTTTTTTTTTTTACTGATGCTAGAATCATCTCTGACTAAGCTGAATCACAGTAATGTTCATACAGCCATGCCTGTGTTCGACATGTTCTAATAGTCCTCTTCCTGTTTTCCACCCGGACTCAACTAGGCAGTTTACGCTTTGATGTGTAGCCTCTGAGACATTCTGTGTTTTTGCCTCTCCCCAGAAGCAATCCATGACATCAGCACAGCTTCACTGAGAACAGTGGTTCTCAACTTTTATAAACTCAAAGCACCCCTTGTCAGGCTCAAGGCAGCCCCCCATAACTTCTGTGAATTAAGTAGCATCCTACTGCAAAACCTAGTTTATTATAGTGCTTACTTCCTTGCAGAAGGGCCAGACAAAAGTGGTTAGGAGTGGCCAGGCATGGAGAGCCTGAGCCTACCCATATTTGCTTATCTCTTCACACATTCTTTATCTCCTCACACTTCCTTGTACCCTTCAAAGGATCTCATGGCAACCCAGGATGCCCTGGCACCCTGGTTGAGAATCACTGACTTAGAAGTTGGATGAGGAGGTATGGTTTAGGATTACAACAGTATGTTAGATAGGCTGACTCCTGAAGTGCCAGTGGATGGAAACTGATGGTATAGGATTGTTTAATCAGGGAGATGACAACCATTCATTGTGACCCCAGAGTAACACAGAACGCAACCTGGACACCCAGCCTGTCTTCCCTGTCCCTCAAAGGAGACTGCCAGCAGTATTGCAAGGGAGATAAGTACACTTTATAAATAAAAGTGTAGTAACTTTTATTAGAAGTTATTGGTATTGTATGCTGTCATATATAGCTGATATTTTTTCTCATGGCCCAACATGCTGCATTTGCAGGTGGATATGAGCTAGTTCACTTTTTAAGACCTGCTCCTCCTTCCTTTAAGTTAGTCTTGCTCCACGTGCTTAAAATTGCATCTACACTTGCAATGGCCAATTTACCAGGTACAACTCTCCTGTTGTTTCCCACTTTCTGCACCCTGTCACCTATGCAAGCTATACCACCCTGCCATGGACTCAAAAAGGTGACTCTAGTCCATCTGGCTTATTTAACAGCTATCCCTCCAGTCCCAGTGCAGAGCACATTCAAGTGCCAGGTGTGTCAAATAAAAAACAATATATCTTTTTCACACGACTGTATTTGAACTTTAGCATTCCATAGTTAAATCATCAGGTGCACGGTGTGTTTTGATTCAGCAAGCATTTAATTCTGCTCTTCGGTGCAAATTTTATTAGCAAGACATGTTTTAATCAGTACAAATTCTTGAAAGATACTTTTATCAGCAGGGATCCTGGTTTTCCCCGATTAAAAAAAAAATTCAAATGCAAATTCTCTGAGAAAAAAAATTGCAAGTTCCCTAATAAAAAATTGCAAATTCTCTGATAAACCCCACAAAATCTGTGATTAAAATTAAAGGCCCCCACAGCTTCCTGGCCCTGCTGGTGCCCCTCACTCCCTTCTCCTCCACAGCCCTCCTGGCCCTAATGGTGCCCCTCACTCCTCACCCACAGCCCCTGGCCCTTTATTGTCCCCCTCACTTCCCCCCCCCCACAGCACCCTGGCACCGCTTGTGCCCCTCACCCCCCACCCACAGCACCTGCTCCCTGAGCCTTACTAGAGGGGGCCCCCAGCTGCCAGGGCTATGGGACCAGGGACCTGGGTCTGCAGCCCCCTGACCCTGGCAGGAGGCAGCGGCTGCTGCAGTGGAGTGAAGCCTTGCTCCCACCCTGCTGCAGGCTCAGGCAGGGGGTGGGGCAGCTCCCCACTGCTGGGTGCACTCCCAGGGGGGCAGGAGAAACCTGTGCCACCCAGATCTATGCACGGGGCTTGGATTCCTACCTTTCTGCGCCCCCCCCCCCCC